GGACTACATTAGACTAAAATTTACAACTTTACATGAGGAGGGAGCACCGCAAAATATAAAGGGAAAATAGTTGAAAATTAAGCATTGCAATGCAAATGTATTCAATTGTCTTATTTTGAGGCCAGTTAATAGTTTAAGATTTTTATTTTAATTATATGTTCAAGAAAGAAGCTACTTAACTAGTACAAGTTAATTTAATTTTTTTGTTTTAATTATCTTTAAATTTATATTTATTTTGATTTTATTTTTTTTATAATACAAATATGCAACCATTATTTTTCTTATTCACGATTATTAGTATCTTATGTTGTTATGGGTCTTGAATCTTAATTCATTTTGGTACTTTTAAAATAAATACAAAATAGATATTAATTAATTATGTGTGTATGCATATAATTAAAAAAAATATTAAAAACTACCACATGTATAAATATTAACTCACCATGTGTGTATTGTTACATACTTATATATAATATCTTACAATAGTATAAACGAATCAAATAAGAATAAAAAATGAACCGCGACCTCAATTAGCGTACCGAATAAGCCTACTCTTACCGTATCGAATATTACCATGTACTAAAGCGACCTGCAATCTGGGTAACTCTGGGTTCTCCATTTGCATAGTAGCATCGACAAAGGAGGTGTGCCACTTGTTCATGGTATAGACCTCCTATTAGATTGTTCTCAATTTGCTGGGCCTATTGTTACTAATCTGTTGGTAACCCCTTGTTCTTTTTGTTTTCTAAGCCTCGGTATCTAATGTTACTCTCTTTGTTGGCCTTGGGTCACTGCTACCTTGTTCTTTTAGTTGGTAATATCTGGTTGTGCATTGAAGTTATGTAGTCTCTGGTTGAGATTTGGGTATTTTCTTGGTACTTTTTACATTAATTTGTGTGATTGTTGACCCTTGGTGGAGTGCATACTCAATTGTGGGTTATTCGATGGAAACTTTGAATCATAGTGAATGTGGTGGTTAGTCTGGTTGTGGTTATCGTTCTCGGTGGCAGTGTACTTATTATAGTGGCACAGGACACATTGAGAATTATTGTTGAAATAAATATGGAAGACCCCGTATATGCTAATTAGACCTTTAATGATACTTCGGGTTCTCTAGTATATCAAACTTCTACCACTGATTTAGTTGCTCGTCTATTGATTCTCATGATGATCTTCCTTCTCAGCGTTGTCAGCTTCTTCAACAGTTAGCCTCCCTTTCTACATATTTATCTGTTCCTACTATTGGTCTTGCTAATGGTGATAACTGTGCATGTGTGGTTGCTATACCTTTTTTATCATCATAGATCATTAATTCAAGAGCTACTACTCATATGTTTGGTATTTTTTACCTATTCTCTAATTTGCGTTCGTCTAACTCACGTATTATGTTGGCGGATGGTTTCTTTCGGCCAGTACATGGGACTAGCGATCTTCGTCGTACTTAGTTTATGCTATTAATCTCTGGTTTGTTTATCGGTGAGTCAGTTAATTAAGTTCTTACAGTGCTCAGTAACATTTTTCCCATCTTCTTGTATTTTTTCAGAACCTCAAGATGAAGAAGGTAATTGGTTTGGGGCATGAGAGCAATGACATTTACTACTTAGATCATGGAAGTTCTGTTTATGCCTTGAGTGCTGCCGTGTCACCTCTTCAGTGGCATTTCCGACTCGATAATCCATCGTTGCGAAAGTTGTGCCAGATTATCCCTGGTTTGAGTTCTTTTTCTGTGTTAGAACGTGAATCTTGTCAACTAGACATGCATCACTGTAATTCTTTTCCTCCTAGTTCTTCCAGTTGTGATTCTATTATTTTTCATGTTATTTATGCAGACATTTGGGGTCCTATAAGAGTCGCAAATTTTTCTGATATTCAGTATTTTATAATCTTTGTTGATGATTTTTCTTTTATAACTTGGTTATTTCTTATGAATGATCAACTTGAATTGCCTAAGGTCTTTATCACTTTTTACAATGAAATTCTGGTTCAGTTTGGCAAACGTATTAAAGTTCTTAGGTCTAACAATGACCTTGAGTATATTCAATCCTTTATAAAAATCTTTTGTGCTGACCGTGGTATTATCCATCAAACAATATGTCCATACCCCTCCCAACAAAATGGTGTTGCTGAACATAAGAATTGCCATTTGTTGGATGTTGCTCACACTTTAATGTTTAACATGAATGTACCAAAATTATATTGGACTGATGTTATTTTTACTTTAGTTTATCTTATTAATCACATGCTTTCCCTCATTTTGGACAACAAATCTCCATTCTCGTTATTTTATCTTGATAAAATGCCATTTGGTCTCACTTCTCGTGTCTTCAGTTGTGTTGCATTTGCTCATCTTCTTGGTTTGGGTAAGGATAAACTTCTGCCTCGCTTGATTAAATGTGTCTTTTTGGGATATTCACATACTTGGAAAGGTTGTCATTGTTATGACTCTATTTCTCGTCGATCCTATGTCAGTGCTGATGTTATCTTTTTTGAGTCATCTTCCTTTTTTTCTCTGTCAGACGATACCTTTTCCCCAAATTTAGTCTTTTCCGATGCTAAGAAGCTCTTGTTGTCTATTATACTAGATTGTATCTTTTTCCTTGTCGAGTCTTACTTCTCCCTTGTTGGTTTACCATTGTATCAAGGACAGACTGGTTGTTCTCTTTTTTATTCCGTTGTCTCGAACTTCGTGAGGAACTCCATTCTATCTCTCCCTTATTACGAACAAAAAAGTGGGGTTGTGCCTCAATTGTACACTTCCTTCATTCTACGAACCCTTGGTATTTTGAACTTCGTTTGCGAAGTAACTGGACATATGCTCCAGCTCTACTGTCACCACATGATTCTACTGAGGTTTTGTCGTTAAGTCGTTAGCTAGTTCATCATCTTTTGATTTGCCTATTGTATAGAGGAAAGGTATCAATAATTGTACAAAGCATTCCATTTTTAATTTTGTTTCTTTACATTGGTTTTCATCATTTTTTCTTTGATTTGCATCTACTGTCTTCTGTGTTTGTTCCAAGTTCTTTGTAATAGGCTTTGACATTTCTTGGTTTGAAATTGGCTATGAATGAGGAAATGAAAGCCTTGCAAGAGACCCGAACATGGGACCTTATTACTCTTCCATATGGTAAACAGTCTATCAGTTGTCGTTAGGTCTACATAGTGAAGTATCATCTTAATGGTTTAGTTGAGTATTTGAAGTCCCGTCCGGTTGCCAAAGATTACACCCATATATATGGTGCAGACTACTAAGAGATTTTCTCTCCTTTTGTCGGTCTTAGCTTTGTTAGAGTTCTTATTTTGGTTATAGAGAGTTGTGGTTGGCCTTTGGTTATCAATAATGTTTTTTTACATGGAGATATGCAGGAGGAAGTATATATGTTACAACTTGTAGGTTATGTTGTTTCTAGTTAGGGACAGTTAGTGTGTCAATTAAAGAAAGCACCATGTGGTTTGAAACAATCACCACGTATTTGGTTTAATAATTCAATACAACAACGGTATGGTTTTCAGCATCCTACTTTAGACCATTCAGTTTTTATTTGTCGTTATTCCACATGTGATATTATTCTTATTGTGTATATTGATGAACATTATCATTAGCGTTAAGACTCAAATGGTATTGCTCATTTCAAGGTCCATTTGGGGAAAGAGTTTATACCAAAGATTTAGGTATTCTTCGATACTTGATCGAGGTTGCTCCATCGAAAGAAGGTATCAGTTTGTGCCAATGGAAGTATATATTAAATTTATTATTTGAGATTGAGACTCTTGGCGCATGTCCAAATAATACTCTTATGGACTCTACAATTAAGTTAGATATTGATAGTTGTAAAGTTTTTGATAATATAGGGCACTATTAGAGGTTGGTTGGTAAGCTGATTTATCTTACAGTTATATATCCTTATATTACCTATGTTGTTGGTGTACATGCTCCTTGTAAGTCTCATTGGGAGGTTGTCTGTTATATTCTACGGTATCTGAAAGGAGATCGGAAAAAGGATTATTATATTGTCTTCCATTATCCTTGATTGTTATTGGATTCTCTGATGCTGATTGGGCAGGTAGTCGTGTCAATAGACAATCTATCTCAGGTTACTGTACATTTATAGGTGATAATCTTGTTACTTCGTATAACAAGAAACATAACATGATTGCTGGTTCGAGTATAGAGGCTGAATATCGGGCTATGATTCATATTGCGTGTGAGATATGTGTTTGTTCTCTTCTTCATAATATGGATATCAATGTGCCCAGTCCTATGGAGATGCAATGTGACAACCAGATAACTATTTTCATTGCTAGTAATCCAGTATTTCATGAGAGGACAAAACACATCGAGGTGAACTATCATTTTATTCGAGATCTTTTGATGCATAAGGAGATTATCACACTATATATCAAATCTAGTAATCAGCTGGGTGACATTCTTGCCAAACCATTGGTTTGGTCTATCTTTGATAATCTTTGCTCGAAGTTGAACATCTTTGATCTTTATGCTCTAGATTGTGGGGGAGTGTTAGAATTCTTTTTTTTTTTGTTTTATATTTATGTAGGGTAATAGTGTAATTACCCAAGATAGTATTCAATATAAATAAGAGGGTGCAGGGTAACTCATCTAAAACACAAATTTCTTTCTTTTTCGCTTTGGCTTCTCTCTATTCCTCTCTTTCTTAAACCCTAATAGCGATTTCCTAGTTTCATCCGTAATTATGTTGGAGAATTTGTGTAGATTGATACTTCTATAGCAACAGGTGAGGATATGACTAGTGCAAGAATTTTGGCTTGAGCTTCAGCATTTTTCATTCCAATGTTATCACAGTAAATTCCATGAATGTCAGTTTTGTTTTTCTCGTATGGTCTAAGTTTATGCCGGCCATGGTGGAGATTAATAAACCAGTACACGATCTAGTACCATCAGTTAAACAAGGTTCAATTTTTAGTAGTTTAATGAACCAGGAAGGACAACCATAGAAGAGGAAAACCAAAGAAGGTTAACCATGGAGTTTGGAAGGAAGTAAGTTACGGGAAAATAGCAGGAAATTGGGGAGAGATTTTAGTAATAGAAGGAGAGATATGTGGAGACAAATGAGTAGATTTTCAAAATCAAATTTACACCAAATTTTCAAATACCATGACTCTGGTTTTAAAGTAATGGAGCTAAATGGGTGGAGACTTCCAAAACAAAGCATTTGACCAAAAATTGAAAGACACAGAAACCAGTTTACAAGGCTGTGAAGCCAAATGGGCTGCATTCTCAAAGCAGGCTTCAACAAATGGGTCCAAAGGACTCTAATGCTTTAGAAGACAGGGCGTGAACCCAATTGGCTTATTTTATCAGATGGGCCTTGGGTTAGGGATGGGTTGTATAAAAGAATTGGAGATGAGAATTTGGATTAAAAAAAATGACCCGTTCCTTTCCAGACCAGCGACGATCGCATCTTCTGCAATTCAACGCATCACTTCGTCTTGCGATTCTTAGGCATCTTCGATGACATCAATTTGTCATATGATCTCGATGAAGGAGAACAATACGTGTTTTTGGGAGGCGAGTAGGTGAAGAGAAGGAATTTGGAGAGGCGATAGGGTCTCATAGCAGTGGGTTACCTACTATGGGATGTAAGGAAAAATTTTCAACGAAAGAGGTTGAAGGTAGTCAATTGACCCGGGTCTCTACTCCTCAGGGTGTTGATAGGCAGCTTTCTTCAAGCCTGAATCCTTTAGTATCAGTTATCCATCTCAATCCTCTTTCAGTAGTGCACAAAGCTGGTAAGTTGGGGTGCTGCAAGGGTGCTCAGCTATGCCAAATGGTGGGGAGCAGCATAAATTGGGGAGTTAGCTAGGGTGGAGGAGTGCGATATATTGACATGCGATTAAATTAGGAAAATGATTCTGTTAAGGAATGAGTTAGAGGAGGTATTAGTAAGGGAGGAAAAGAGTTGGAGGCAAAAGACAAGAGTTAAATAGGATAAAGAAGGTGATTGCAATACAAAATTTTTCCATAGAATGACTGGTAAAGGAGAAAAAGTGTCCTTAGAGAGATAGAAACCGAGTCAGATGAGGTTGTAATAGATCCTTTGTTTATTGTGAAGGACAATACTGAGTTTTATAAAGATCTATATACGTAGGATGTTCATTTTAGACCAATAGTTGTTGGAGTTGATTGAAATCTTATATTGTATGAGAACAGTTTTGATTGAGAAACCTTTTGAGAAGGAGGTTTGGAAAACTGTGCTTGACATGGATAAGGAAAAGGCCCCAGAGCCAGATGGTTTTACTAGAGCTTTCTATCAGAATAGTTGAGAGACTATTAAGGGTGATTTGATATGTGTATTCAATGACTTTTTTTTTGTAAAATTTTTTTTTTTTGGGGGGGGGGATTGAGGAGAAATGTTAATTCCACTTTATCATATTGGTTCCCAAAAAAGATTGTTCGATTGAAGTGAAGGATTATAGACCTATCAGTTTGGTGACTAGTTTGTATAAAATTATCATTAAAGTGTTGTCTAGAAGAATGTGATGTTTTGGGAGACAAAGTAACCATGACTCAGTGTGTTTTTGTTCAAGGATGACATACTAGATGCTTTAGTGTCATATGAGGAGCTGGAGGATGTCATGATGAGAAAATCGAAGAAAGAAGTATGTTTAAAAGCTGGATTTTGAAAAGGCATATGACTGGGAAAATTGAAATTTTGTTGATGTTGTGTTAAGAAAAAAGGATTCTGGAGAGAGGTGGATAAGGAGTGGTTGTTCTTCTTTGAATTTTTTAGTGTTTGTGAATGGGGAGTCCAGGAAGTGGTTCCAAGGAGATCTTTATCGCTTCTTATATTTACAGTGGTGGTTGATCTCTCGAGGAGGATGATTATTAGAGCAGAACATGTATGGTTGATTGATAGAGGGGCTCAGAGTTGGTGGTGATGATGTAACTTTGTCGCATTTGCAGTTTGCTGATGAGGGATTTTCTTTAGTCTTTGGATAGGAGATGATAATAGGATCATTTAGTGAGTTGGGAGACAAATTGTAAGTGACAAAAGGGGTTTGGGACTTCGTAATTTGGTGTCTAAAAACATTTGCCTTGTCAGAAAATGGTTATAGCGGTTTCTGTTAGAACCTAATTCCCTTTGACATAAGATAATTAAGAGTAAGTTTGGTCTTCAGAAGAATAGGTGGGATAATAAATGTGGGCATAATGTAACTCATGAGTCCTTTGAAATTCATGTCATAGATTAACTCTTCTTTTCTTTCTTTGATCCTTTATAAAGTTGGAGATGGATCCAAAGTTCTATTTTGGGAGGATACATGGGTTCAGGACTCATCTTTTCATAATATCTATCCCTGTGTTTATCGTTTATCCTTATTCCATGAGTCTCTTATTTGCTCTTTTCTTGTCATGGGGACGAACTTATGTTCTTGAGATTTTCATTTCTTTTGGCATCTTAATGGTAGGGAAGCAATTGATTTGACTTATTTGCTTCACATTCTCCATGTCTTTCAACCTTGTTCTTCTCACGATAATAGAATCTGGCTATGAGATAAATTTTAGATTTTTTCATGCAAATCATTCTATTCACATTTTGTTAGTTATAGAGACAATGATTCTTTCTCTTTGGCCAAAATTATTTGGAAAGCCAAAATTCTTTCAAAAATTAAGGTTTTTTGTTTGGACTATTGTCCTTAATAGGGTGAACACTGACGATCTGTTGCAAGTTTGGAGGCCCATAGCCCTGATATTTGCCTTACTTGTTTGAGTAGTGGTGAATCGAATGTTCATTTATTTATTCACTGTGGTTTTGCATGGAGCTTGTGGAATACATTATTCAAATTAAAATTGATAGGTGAGGCTTTGGCGTGCCCTTCTACAGTGGAGCAAATGTTGCACATTAAGTGTCATGGTTTTGGAAAGAAAAAGGAAGTTAAAGTACAATGACATTGTGCGTTCATGGCAATTCTTTGGTGTTGTGAGAAATGCTGGAATTTTCAACAATTGTTCTCTTACTTCTGAATTAGCATGGGAACGATTGATTTCTATGGCTTCACTTTGGACCAAAACCACGGGAAGTTTTAGAGGGTTGTCTTTGTCGGATCTTCATAGGAATTACATGGCGGCTTTACTTTTATTTTATTTTCTCTTTTTGTTGGTTTTTTCCCTATGTTTTTGCTTTACTCAATTTTTGAGGATATCTTGTCCTCAACGTTGTATTATGCTCTTGATTTCTTTATATAATAAAATTCTTCTTTTATTAAATAAAAAAAAAACCTTGGTAACTAAGTTGCTTAACCTCGAAGAGAGCTCCTATATCGTAGCTAATAATTAAACCAAATCCTACTAAACCTGGAGTTGTCTTTTTTATTTTCCATGACAGAGTTGGCCATCTGATGAACCTAAAATAATCTAAACCCATCATCACATCAGATTTTGACATATTGCTTAAAACACCATCAACATATTAAAGAGCTGCATCAGTCAAAACGAAAAAGGGTACAGTGCTTGGTGCACTAGCAAAAGTGTTAAGGGTAAGGATTTGCATCATAGGGCAGTCGCTGTGTGCAAATAATGTTTAAGGTTAGGTCGGTAACAAGTCCATCCGTATTAGAACCCTCGATTTATGGAGTACAATCTTGGTAATGGTCCTACAATGACCCTATTTTTTTTTGGTCTTAACAATGACCTATTCAATTAAAAGAACAAAGAATGAAATGAAAATGAGATACCAGCACTGCAGATTGTATGAACTTAATGAAAAAAGGGTTTAATCTCAAAAGTTAAACACCAGATCTCAGGAAAACATATTTGTGAAATTCATCCAAGTCATACAACCTCTTTCTAGACTGGGACTATCTACCTTTGCATTTGAATCATGATGTTTTGGATTAGTGGACACTTGTGGTTCCAGCTACAGGAATGGTTCATCGGTGTGTATTAGTTCTCACTAACATACGTTCTGCTTTATTTAGTTATTAGTAAGCTGCCCCTAGATTCCATGAGGAAGATGGTGTCAGATGTCTTTTAGGTGTTTGTGTCTCAACCAACACGGTCTTGTTTGTGGCTGAATTCTCTAGTTGCCCTTGTTACCAAGTGAATAGGAACTGCTATATTTCCCCTCACTTTTAACTCTTTTGACAGATTACTTTATATGGTGTAACAGGTGGAAGATCTTTCTAGGGAACCACAAGTAGAACGTGAACTTCTGCTCATAAAGCTTAATGCAGATCCAACCACACGAGCCGAGGTATTGCATTGTTCGTACTAAGGTGTTCTTTTTTTGTTTTTTGGAAAATAATATAGGTTATCCAATTGATGGCCCATAAAGCATATATTGGCGATTTTTTTGATGCGGAAACCAGTTTTTTATTGATAGAAAAGGAAGAGATTTAATTAGCAAGAAGAGGGAAGTGTACAGAAGAGGATAAAAAAAGTATAAACAGGAAAAAGTGTAATGAAGAAACCTTTAATAATTCACGCCACTCCCACCAGTGCCCAATTATTCTACATAAAAAATAAAGGAATCCTTCAAAAACTTTAGATGTTGAAGCCGATAAAGATGCCAAAAATGAGATTTTACACAGCACCCAATGAAAGTGCTCTATAATCTAAACAACTGAACCGTAAAGAACAATTGATCCATATTCTCCTCACCACTTTTGCAACGAATACACCAGTAGGGATTGAGAGTGAAAAGGGCCTCCTTTTTTGGGTCATATTGTTACTGGTATTTTTTTTGTGCAATGAGCCAATCAAATACTGGAACTGTTAATCACACCCTTGACTTCCAAATCATCTTATATAATTCAAAAATTGGAATGAAAGTATTATCAATTGAAGAATCAAAGAACAATTTATAAGTAAATTCCCTGAAGAAGAAATGATCCATCTTCTGTTATCACTAGAAGACTAACTTGAAACGATATTAACAAGAACCAATAGAAGAGAAGATAATTCAGCCAATTTTCTACTTTTTAAAAAGTAGAATTCCAATAAGCTCGGAAGGAAAAGATGATATCATACTAGCAACACATGAGCTATGAGACTGCGACAAATGATACAACCAAAGAAACACATACAATAGATGACTCACTTCTCCACACATCCTTTGATTCACACAATCTGACACCTAGCAATATCGTATCCATCCAGACCCAGTTTAACGAGGAGATGAGGTCTATGGCATTGGTGTCCACCCTTACTTTCAACCTGGTCCTAACAGCTGCACACAGACCCCTATAAAAAGTGTACTCTTGGAGTAGAAATTTCTTTGCATGTTGACCTCTTGGAACAACAAAAAGCTCCCTGGTATTATTTTGTGAAATAGACAATTGACTTTGTCTTGGATCGATGCTTGTCTAGAAAGCAGACCCACGAAGTGCTTAAAGCTCGTAATGGTGATGCAGTCCATAAGATGCTCATGGAGAAAGAAATCAAAAGTTATGACACACTATGGAATTTGGATTGCTGTCAAGACTGAGCCCCACTAGGGAATTTGCATAATGTAGTATATTTGAGACTTGTTTTCTTTTGGTTAAGTTTGATATAGATTTATAATATATTTACAAGACGGGCATTTTTTGTAAATTCTAACATATCTTGGAAACTCCAAATAAAATTACATCTTAGAACAAATCAAAACTACCTTCTCCACGTAGCTGTCCGGCTCGAGATAATGCTAACAAGGGGAATATTATCAAACTCTTTAGATATCGATGCCCACAAGGAAGCCAAAAAATAAAGCTGGTCCAGAGACCTTCAATTTCCTTGCATTTTTCAAAAAAAAAATCCTCTAATTTCTTTCCAACCATATAACCCAAATAGTAGCAAAACAAGCATAATGTCAAATAGTCTTTCCACCATCTGTTTTCCCTACCACCCGTACCATCCAAGCATATCATGAAATACGTAGTTCACGGTGCCACCCAACAAATACCCACTTAGCTAAACAACTTGTTCCATAGTGAGTGCGCTATAGAGCAATGTAAGAATAAATGATCCATGCTTTCACTCTTACCTTTACACATAACACATCATTGCCGTGAAGACAACTCATGGGTCTCCTTTGAAGCACATCAAATGTGTTAATCTTTTCATGAACAATTATCCATACACAAATTTGCACCTTCAAAGTCACTCTAGCTTGCCAAATTATCCTCAATGGAGGAAACAAAGGAAGAGAGGGATCATCGATTAAAGACACAAAAGAAAGATTTACATGAGAATACACCGGTATATTCAAATAGTCTAACATCTTTTGTCTAAACATCCGTGAGTCAAAGAAATACTATTAAGTACAAAGAGACTCCACCAACTCAAACATTCCCTATCATTTAGACCTCTAAAGAAATCAAAATCCCATAATATAGGATAAGAATAGAACCAAATAAGAGAGTCAACATCATGACCATGAAACCTGGAAGAGGAAGACTCACCAAGCCATGTATCCTCCCAAAAACAAACCCTAGTTCCATCGCCCACCGTGAACTTAATCCTATAAGAAAGGATAGGTTACCCCATCCCAAAAGCTTGTTACCCATATTTCCTCTTATTAACAGAACACCACAGTGAACCTCGTTCCAAAGGAAACCTCCAAAGTCATTTCCCAACCAAAGCTTGCTTGACTTATATCAATTAAACCCTTAATTAACCCTTGGTCATTCTTGAGTAAACCTAATGAGAATAGCTAATATTTTATAACTGATCTGTTGCATCACCTGGGGCTGCAAGTTCCTAGAGTTTTTGAAATATGAAGTTGCAGTATGTGTTGTAAGTACAGTATATAAAATCAGTTTTATGAGATTTGGGTGTCATCTCCATTTAAGTGGTTTTGATTATTTTCGTTTCTGGTTGATATTTTTTAATATCCTATTTCAAGGGATTTTTGTCTTTCTGGTTGATATTTTGTTTCTCTTTTCTTAATTCCATTACTGATATTGATTTTTTTGTAATATGCAGATCATGTTATTAGTAGATATCTTCAGAGCAAAAATCGTGGATATTTCAGAACACTCGTTGACTATTGAGGTGATAATTTTCATATAATTTCCCCTGCTTAATATTTAGTTTCATAAATTTGTGAGCTGTTTTTTGACTTGGGGTCTAGTGTGTGGCTGATGTTTGATGCATACATACATTCTTTGCCATATAACATCTCTAGTTGGGCTGAAATGCATGCATGTCTGTTATCAATGCTAGTGTGTAAAAGTTTGTTGATTTGTGAAGACTTCAACAGGACTGAAAATTTTGTCCGGAAGTCATGGACTGTAAACAGACGATTTTACCAAATCTAAGATACCACTGCATTTTTGGATTAAGTTTTCACGTTATGGGGATTGATAGTACCAAGCTCTTGTATATGTTGTTATCTTTTTCCTTTTTTTAATATCCACTTCTAGACAGTCACAATGTTGCCAAGAAACTTGGAAATATTGAAAACCATGTACTTTTTTGGATAGTTTTCTTACCAAGGCTTACAACCTACATTGTATTTTTGCGGAGTCTCTGAGTATATTTGAAGGTGGAAGCCACTTGCATAACTTCCAAAATTATTGCTTTCAAGGATGTTGAGTTGAAACCAACTCTCAAATCATTGTTTATTTGATCAAAGCCCATCTCAGTTTTTACTTACAAATATACAGTTTGTATTTCACAATAAGGTTCATTTAAAAAAAAAGATGAAAAATGCCTATAGTTTATTAGCCAAGGAAACAAAAATCAAATTTATCATATATGAGGGAAAATCATGTTTTATCAAACATGTGTTTCAAATGATATAGGCTTAGATTGTTCATCCATTGCCCCATTGCTAGTTTCTTATGGCATAATCTTTTGGGGAAGTGATTTGGTTTGGGTTAAACCTTGCAAATGTGCTTCACTTTCGTGATGGTGTTTGACGCTTTTGGATGTGGTAAAAAAAACCTTGCATTTTATGGAGATGCACTTGGCTATGTTTTGGGTGGTGTGGTTGGAGAGGAATAAAAAAATCTTCGATGGAGAAGAGGAAATAAAATTGTTTTGGGAAAGAGTGAAGTTCTTGGCATCTTTTGTTGGCCATGGTTACCGAGGAATTTAGTGACACTCTTTTATTGGTTTTGCAACTAAATTGGAAGCATGGTTGTCAAAATCCCAATTCAGATCCTAGGATCTTACGTTTGTAGCAGAAAAATCAATTTGAGTCTGTTGTAAAATTCCTAATTCGTAGAATCTTAATAGATCGTGATCCAGATCTTAGAGGACTGTAGGATCTCAATCTCAATTACGATTTTACTGATTCAAGTTGTTGGGCTTGTTTGTTAGGTACATCTAATTTTTGAGTAGACCATATTTATTGTTTTATACTCAAAGACTTGATCCAAATGTGATTTTTTTCGCATAATTGTCAGTCTATTGAGAAATTTTAGCAGATGATAAAAGATACAAAAAAGTCGCATAATTGTCGGTCTATTGAGGAATTTCAACAGATGATAAAAGATATAAAAAGTTCGCTTCATTGCAGAAAACTCCCTTCATTCGTTTGTCTCTTTTGTTGAAAAGTTAAAAACAATAATTATGCTTGATCACCTTCATTGGCGGACAATTATAGCCGAATAGTATTCCATTTCCAGTCTCTTCTGTATTTTTTGTTTGGATGTTACACAGTCAAAAGTCTCTCCGAAAGTTATGATCAAATACTTCAATTCCTATATCTCTTCCCCAACAACTTGCCTTTGATTTTCAATCTTTTTCAATGCTCATATTGTAATTTCTCAAAATTTAATCATATCTCTAAGTTTTATATTTGAGATCACATTTTTATTTTCATATTTGCTAGGATTGTTTAATTCTTGTTTTTAAGAATTTTGTATTGTCACAAATACTTTTTGTCACATTTTCTACGTTCGTAAGATCTTGCAATTCTAAATTTGATCCTCCTATCTCGATCGTTTAGCCTCCCCCATCAATTCAAGGTAGGATCTCAATTTTAAAAATCTTGATTTCAAGGCCGTTTGTAGTCATTAGTTTCCTTTTATATTTCAATTTTTGTTTTTTGTTTTTTGGGTAGATTTCTTCTCAACCATTTAATGTATGTTTGAAATATGTATCTTTCATCTTATGAAATGAAATTGTAGTTTCCTATCACAAAAAGATTGTAGCGTATTTACTAAAAAAAGAATCACATTGAAAACTTACCTTCTAAAAGGGAAGTGTTTTGGGATGACATCGAATTCACGAATATGGTTTTTATGTTACAAAGCTAATTAGAAGCAATACTTTTATAAGATGAAGAGTAAACTACGCATATGACTAGAACAACGACTCTTGTGTCAATTAAGCCGCTGAATTTTTTTTTATTGTGTCGATTGAGCCCCCGAACTCTCTAATTATGTCAATTGAGTCTTTCTTTCCTTCGTTAGATTTTCTAACGGAAAGTGGCAGAGTGTGCCACTCACGTGACCAACCTGCAACTCATTTGTGTCACGTGAATAGCACACTTCACCACTTTTCGTTAGAAAATATCAAGAATGTAGAAAAAAGGGTTTAATTGACACAATTAGAGAGTTCTGGGGCACAATTGATGCAAATAAAGTCCAGGGACTTAATTGACACAAGGGTATAGTTTGAGGGCCACATATGTAGTTTACTCTAAGATGAAATAAGTAAATTTGACATAATAATGCAATCATGTGATACTTGACTTATAATTTATTATTTTATCAGTAAATTTGTTTTGCATCGACCAAAAGCAAGTCACATATTGATGTAGGACTAGAGAAAGAATTAGAGGAAGGAATCGAGAAAGAAACAAAGAAGTAGAGAGATAGAGAAATAAGAACAAGAAAGAAGGCGGACAAATAGAGAGAAAGAGGAGAATGTAAGGGAGAGAGAATTCCCTATTCCAAACAATTCAACAAACGCCAAAAACTGAATCATACTGATCCTTCCACCACTTTGCATCACATACTTACTTATGGCCTACATTTATAGGCAAGCTCCAAAATTTACCTAATCTAAAGGATAATGATATTTAAATTTCTAACTTAGGATTAAAGCCAATAATTGTGTATCAAAAGGAAATAATGAATTAATCCTAGTTTCTAATCTTCCACCCAAACTTCATCGAATTACGTTTCATTCCCCATCATACACAAAGGGAGAGAAGGTTGGACCACCGTCTAATTATTGGACCAACATCTAATTAATAAGTTTTCATGACTAGTGTATAAAATCAAGGTGATATGGTTACCCCAACACTAAGTTCAGTTGATGTTTATCATGTGATGACAATTAGAGCCAATAAAAAAATTTATAGGAAGAATGGTCAGTAGAGTTGAATGATAGTACATATGATATGTCAAAACTGAAGGTCAATAGTTGTAGAACTTCAAAATAAGGTAAATTTAAGGATGAGAAAGGTAGGGCGTAGATTAGGTTATGACCAGGGATATACTTTTAGATATACCCAAGAGTCAATACAAAGCTATTAGGTGTTTATTTAAATTTATGTTTGAGAATTTATATTTAATTCAAAGAGAGATTTTCCTTTATAAATGATCTGTGCAAGACACCGCCCCTTGATTTTCAGCATCGATGTGAAATTCTAAACTCTGGCTAGTGTCTGGGTTCCAAGTAAAATGAAGTTTAGAGGATAAGTGGGACTTCAAATAGAATGGATGACTGTCAAGGGTTGTACTTATTCATTTCCATAGGCCTAACTCATAGTATTCCATATGCGAGTGTGGTAGATTTTTTTTAATATAAAAACGTCGTGACCTGATTAAGAATAGCACCTCAGAACATCAACTTAGCATAAGCAAATAACAAGTGTTTATGGCTAGGAAGTATGGATATAGAGACAAGTGTTGTATCTGATACGATAAAGGTCATAGAAATACAACAAAGTTAAAAAATATAGGACACGGGTATGGTAAAGACACAAATATTAAAATAATATAATATATTTTTTAAATAACAATATAATTTTATTCTATTAAAAATAAAGCATATATTATAAAAATTTTAATGATAAGGCCAAGTAAATATTAATTTTTTGATTAAAATTCAAATAGATCAAAACAAATATTCATCATTTTCATCAAACATCATTACATTAATTCAAGGATCAAAATATCGTTTCGGTCACCTAGAAAACGGAAACGTTTCGATCCGTTTCGGAAACATAATGAAAAAAATAAATATAAGAATTATTTTTATAAAATATTGATGAAAATATATCAAAATATCTTGAAATAAAATAATTATACAATTGCATTGAAATATTATAATACATTTAAAAACATTATGGAATACCTCGAATTATCAGAATTTCGATTCCATCACTGTTTCGTTTCGCTCTCCTTGGAACGGAAATGTTTCGGACATTTCGAAACGATATTTTGATCCTTGCATCCATTGACATTTATAGTATATAAGTTACATAACAAAAATTATATTAAAAAAATTAGAAATAATACTTATTTTAATAATCAACAGTTATTTTTTCTTAAAAGAAATTCCTCACCGTATCTTGGTTGTGTCTTGGACATGTCCAGACTGTGTGCTAGACGTATCCTAGCCGTGTTTTGACCGTATCTGACTAGGTTCGCTATTCAGGACATTTCTAGCCGTGTCGGATAGACCACTCAAGCTAGATCTTAGCGGTATAATAAATTCTTAAGAGGATTAATTCACTTCTTGTTGCCATATAAAATTTAGATTTTGTCAAAATTTAGGGTGATGTGCGTGGATGACTATATGCCAATAAAATCATGAATATGCTCCTTACTGACAAATGCTTCTTGTTTCATCAAAAGGACAATTTTTGACTTTTATTATAAATGTTACCTTTGTTAATTTTTGACTTCCCTTTCAGGGGCAAAATCATCTTTAATAATGGTTAGGGGTTTCACTTGATCCTAGCAAAATAATGTAGGAACAAGTACAAAACTAAAGAAAAGTGAAACCTACTGAAAGAAAAAGAAATTTTCCACCTGAAATTGGTTCAAGAATCAAAATTTCGTTTTGGTGCACAGTTTCGGTGAGCTTGAAAACGTAAAAGTTTCGGTAATGGTTCGAAAATGAGATAAAAACAAAGGAAAATTTAAAAATTTATTTTCAAAACATTGGTCGAAATACCTCAAAACTTACTGTAACACCTCGAAACATATTGAAACATATGAATTCTTATATTCAATCAATGATTTGTTTTGATTTCTATGGAAACGGAAACATTTTGCATGTTTCGAAATGAAATTTAGTTCCTTGCACTAAATTTAGTTTCGAAATGAAGTTTAGTTACACGAAACTCTCAGATTAGATAAAATATTTTGATAGAGGACAGAGTATATTATTTTGAAAATAATCTTGTTTTTTGAATATGTGCAATCTTATCTAAGTTGAATTGGTGGTCTCTGATCATTCTCACGATCATTAAAGGCAATTGTTGGCTTACTCATTTTCTTGTGGTTCACTCAGGTTACTGGAGACCCAGGGAAGATGGTTGCCGTGCTGAGAAATATGAGCAAGTTTGGGATAAAAGAACTTGCAAGAACTGGAAAGGTCAGATATACACCTTTTAAAATTCTTAATACATAGTTATACGTGTTGCATAGAGGTTCTTCCCAGTTGTTCCATTGACAACCTGTGTGTTGGGTGTTATTTTTAGTAGTGCTAAAGAAGTAATAGTGCTAAGAGATATCATTAGGGAGAGGCTGGAAGAGGTTATTGTAAAATTGTTTAGTCAACTAGGAACATATATCATGCTAAATCTATTCAAAATTGATGGCAATTTCATGCGATGATCTCTCTTACCATGGTAGCGTGAATATTATGTTCTATATTACACTAGTACAAATAATGACTCTTCCACTTGTGTGATACTAATTTTTTATTTAATACAACATGTAGATTGCTTTGAGACGGGAGAAGATGGGTGAGACAGCTCCTTTTTGGAGATTTTCTGCAGCTTCTTATCCAGATCTTGAGGGGACAAACCCAGTTGGTTCTCTTATGGCGAGTACTGCTCGACCTTCTAGTGGCAACCCCAGTACAACTGCAAGGGTATGTACTTCCATCAAGTAATCTTTCCAGATATCATTCTTTTCTTCACATATTGTAGTCAAGGATCAAAATTTTATTTCGGTATATTGTTTCGGTCACTTAAAAAATAGAAACGTTTCGAAAACATAATGAAAAATAATAAAAATTTAAGAATTATTTTTTCAAAGCATTAGTCGAAATATATTAAAAAATCTTGAAATACTTTGAAATATTCTTAAATAATTGTGCAAATACATTGAAATATTACAAAATATTTTGAAACATTATGGAACATCTCGAAGTATTAGAATTTTGATTCCATCACTGATTCGTTTTGATCTCCTTGAAAACGGAAATGTTTCGGATGTTTCGACCGTTTCGAAATGATATTTTGATCCTTGATTGTAGTGCATCATTTTCTCATGTATGCCAATTACTTATGGTAGCAGCATGATCTCTTGTTTAAACATTTCCAATTTCCGGGCATACTTATCAGTTCAATTACCACGAAGTGATATGACGGCCAAAAATCAGTGCAACTTTATCATACATTCTAACTGTGCTGTATATTAGGATTATTGTATACTGGTGTCAATTCAAAAAACAAATTCTTGGTAAATTATGATCACATCCCATATAAATCGCCAGAATTACAGAGACACCCGTTGTCGTTTATGAAATGGCACTGACTCGTGATTGGCTGTTACTGATAGGTTCAACAGTTGCTGATGTCATGATTCGTTTAAAATACTCAACTAGCCATCCTTATAAACTGTCCTCTCTTTCGTTCTTGTTGGTATTATCTCTCTCTGTTTCTGTCTCTCCACACACTTGCGAACACAATGATAAATGCACAAACAGTGATCCTCAGGTCTGCGGCTAACCGGAAACCAGTCTCTCTCACTTCACTGTTGTAAATGCTGTGCCACACCCACAGCCCATTACCTAGCCACTGACTACCACACTCTCAATTACTACATCCAAATCAAAATCGATTTTAATGTGATATTGAAATCATTTTGATTTTCTGTACTGTTCATGTGTGTTAATTTGCCCGCGATGAATTTAGTTAATATATAAACCTTGGTTGAATTTGTTTGGATTGGGATTGAAGTGCTGGTGCTGGTGTTCAATGGTGTAGTGGCTGTAAGGGCATTTCCAATGTTGACCCGAACTCAAACTCAAATTTGAGTAAAAAAATGAGTAAAAAATTTGATTTGGTATAAGACACTCCAATAGACAAACTCAAAATTTAAAGAAGGGCAAACTCAAATTTAAAATAGGACAAACTCAATGTTGTAGTAATTACATGCAACTTGAATCTCTCTTTGGTTCTCTTCTCTAACTACCTTCAATGCTTTTCCCTGTTTGATTTTTTTTTTTTTTGTTATCCAGTAAACTTGGAGTTTGTTATACCAGAAAATATTCCTTTTGAACTAAAGGATCTTTCCTGGCTCGTCTTCTTGTAAAAGCCTTTATTCTATAATGAACAATATTTTTTGATTAATGTGGATCCACTTGAATGGGGGAGAAAAGAAATTCTAATGAAAAGGGGGTAATTTATAGATTTCAGATCATTTTCTGCAGAATGCTGGTTGTGTCAGCTGGACAACCTTGCACAGATGTTATTATTGTTATATCTCTATCTCATTTTTGACACTAATCCTTATTTACTTTTTAGTAAATCTGCAAAGCTACTGTACAGTACTCCTTTTCTGCTTAATGGAATTTTTTTTCTTTTCATTCCTCATTCTTGTTACTTTTTTGGATTACATTTGTTTGTTGTTTGAATAAAAGCTGATGCTTATATTATGTCTTGCGTGGGGTGATTTTTGTCTTCAGATCATTTTACACATCATGCTAGTTGTATAAGCTTGTTGACCTCGAGCAGATGCCACTATACCTATTTCAATTGGGGACTGATCCTTTCTTAGTAGTTACAAAATCTGCAACATGATTCTAGACTATTCCTCTTTGGTTTCTGGATGATCTTTGTTCTCATTCTCAACATTTGTCTTTTGTTAGATTAAGCAATATTTGTTGTTTGAATGAAGGGTGATGTTTATCCTGTGGAGCCTGATGATGACTTCTCAATGAATCAAGTTCTCGATGCCCATTGGGGGGTTCTCTATGATGAAGATGTAAGAAATCAATTTGCCACACTCAATTTCTTCAGTTTTGCTTTTATCTTTTAACCTGTGATTTGGAACTGTAATACATTCTTAGCTAAAACTCTTTGTAAGCTGGGGAACACTGCCAAAACTATAAGAGAAACTTGTTTCAGTTCTACAACATCAAGGGAACGAAGAGTTCATGCTTTCAATTCCAGAATGCCTCTTTTTAATTGAGCTCTTTGTTGCTTGATTATCCTTGCAAGTTGACTTCTTTTTGTCTTAAGGTTTCTTAAACTTTCATCACTCTGATTTTCCTTAAAAACAAATTTGTAATCATCAGTCTAGATCTGCAGTTTAATTGTCCATTTATTGAATTTCTAGACCAGTAATTTAGTTTGAATGGTTCTACCATCCATTTGCACTACTTGTAATTGTTGAGGGTTGAGGGTGATTTATGGAGGTAATATCATGGTTCTTGCTATGATAACGGTTACTCTGAATTTTTGTGTTTTTTTGTAGTCAAGTGGGCTTCGGTCACACACTTTACAAATGCTTGTCAATGACTCCCCTGGAGTCCTCAATGTAGTCACCGGGGTTATATCTCGAAGGGGTTATAACATTCAGGTCAGTTTGGCTTTTTTTTTTTAATTTTTTTTTATAGTTTTGTGTCTATATTTTCTTTCTGATCTGCTTGACTTTCTGATTTGATGGCTTGTTTCCAATTCTTGGTCTTAGAGTCTAGCAGTGGGTCCTGCGGAAACAGAGGGGCTTTCTCGCATTACAACTGTGGTTCCTGGAACTGATGAATCTATTGGCAAGTTGGTTCAGCAATTTCAGAAATTGGTGGATCTTCATAAGGTGAGAAATACTCCATTTGTAGTGTTGAAGGAAGTGTCCTCGCAACTAACAGGGTAATTTGGAGTACTTGGGAGGGCTATCCAAGGAAACCTACTTATGCCTGGAAAACACTAGGTGAAGATATTGGCCATCTATATAATGATTACCTATATGAGCTCATGAATTATTTGCTGCTAATGTGTGGCTGTGTGCCCCTGTTTATGGGTTGGATGTTACTTAAAAGTTTGCAACCGGTTCATGTTTTATTAATGATATTCGGGATTATTTTGCAATTTTGTATTGCATGCTGTAAACTAAGGCAACACTTAATCATTGGAAAACTGAGTAAAATATGGGATTTTTTTCTCAATAATTCAAGAGTTTGGTGAATTTGACTTTTCTCAATGTTCTTATGACAATCTGATTGGTGCAATCCCCCACAATCCATCTTCAGAATTCCTCAATTGAAAAAATTTAGCCAAAAGGCTATTGAACATGCCATTACTGTAAATTGGTTTAGAGCTATATGAGAATGTGTAAGTTGTGACAGCAAACGTCTAACAAAAAATGCTGGTGCTTATTCAGGTTCAGGATATCACCCACTTGCCATTTGTGGAGCGGGAGCTGATGTTAATAAAGGTTGCTGTTAATGCTCCTGCTAGGAGGGATGTCCTTGATATTGCCAATATTTTTCGGGCCAAGCCTGTTGATGTGTCTGACCATACAATAACGTTAGAGGTGAGATTTTGTTTAGAGTTTGAGTTGCTATTCAGATAATATCATTGCTTTATTTTCCATTCCCTTTGTACCCAAAATTTTTGTAGAGATGCAATATATGTGTGCACTCCTTGTTTTATACCAAGAAATAAGTATAGTCCTGTGCAAATATATATCATATTGGTTTGTCTGTTGTGTATCTCAACTTGCTTATCAAAAAATTAATCGTATTACCCACATATAAGTACATATTTTTTAACCTTATCCACATTGGGGTTCGGCAAGGACTCTCTTTGTTTGTAAATGACAAATCAGTAACATTGAAACCTCTAATCCTAAGATCCTAGATTTTTTTATCTGAACCTGAAGGGTAATTGTTCAAAGTAAGAGTATTATGATGGTTGGCCACTAAAAAAAACTAGAAAAACTGCCTTTTGAGTTTCAGCTGATCAAACAGTTTTTGTTATTGGGAGGCCAATCTATTGTCTTAGATTAAGCCATCTTGTGGTGAAGTCCTTTCTGGTATAGTTATTAGTGTTGTATGATACGCGATACGTTTCGTACGATACGTCACGATACACTCAAAAAATGATACGTATCGTGTCTTTATATCGTTTTTGCACTTTATCGTACGATACACGATACGTGACGATACGTACGATATGTGACTATTCAAATTTTTTTTTTTTGATTTTTGATTTTTTGGGACTGAAATGACATTATTTTACCCTAAGATTTATTTTTAAATCACTAGCCAGTGAAACGTCGTTTCAGTAGTTGTGGTTTAAAAAAATAAAATAAAATATGTTGTTAATGTTATTCAATTGAGTTCAAAATTCCTGATTAATATCAAAATTGTTCAAGCAGTTAATGTTAGAAGTTAGAAATTTGAATTAGAGGTTTTTGCATTTTGATATTACTGAACTATATTGAGAACTTGAATAGTTGATGAAATATTAATGAAATGCTATATTATTATGAGTCTATGTTTTTTTCTACAAAAGTATATATATTATTAATAATTATTTCAAAATTAAAATTGCGCATATCTTATGATACACGATACGATACGATACACTATTTTCGAAAAATGATACACCTTCCGATACGCGATTTGACAACTATGTTTTCTGGATTAAAATATGAGTGCAGGATGTTTGGGGGCAGCTCAAACAAGTTTTTTTGGAGGAATCTTATACTCAAACTAATCAATTTGCTCTATTAGCAACTATTTTGTTATGTTATTTGTAGAATAAGGGTATTTTAGTCCTTTGCATCTATATATAAACAAGGTGTACTTGTGTAACCTAACATATTACCCTATTCTGACAATCTTATCTCTTTCTCCTATTTTTTTTTCTCTCACAAAACCCTAATGACTTCATAACTTAAGTTGGTATCATTGAAATGATTTGTGATCCGAATTAAACGTCCCAATGTGATTGGAATTTAATCCAGCATTAACAATGACCATTTATTTCATCTAATGTGCTGACATCAACAATCTGACAGCCTGACGTGAGTAACAATGATGTCAAATTTTTTTGAAAAATGGTGCATCTGATTCAACTTCATCCCACGAGAAGTATGATTGTTTTTCTGGAATTTTTTGAAGCGTTTGATTATTCTTTCAAATTTTTGAGTAGTTTTTTGTTTTTTACTCCTTGGATGTGTGATCTGCATTTTTTAAGCAATCCGGAGGTTGTTTTTGAGTTGATCTGACTCCTTGGGGTGCGACTGGGCGTGAACTACAATGCCCATTAGTTTTTGTAGCTGTTTGATAGGATTTGTGGGGTTTCTTGGCCTTTTTTGACCCTTGACAGTGAGTTTGTGAGCAAATCTGCGATCTGCTCCTCTTCTGAATGCTTCAAGGCGACCAGATTTGGTCTTTTTCTCTTCCAATTGGTGCACAAGAATTATTTGGCTGCTGTGTGGAAGATTTTTTTCTAGTTTTGTGGTGATTCTGTGGGATGTGATTTGTAATTTTTTTTTACTATGGTTGTGATTTTGTGGGATTCTATTGTGTGAACATGATGGAAGCTAGTGTGACCTCTACCAATACAGGAGGAAGTGGGCTGAGCCATTTAGGGGTGCTTGTTAATAATTCGTCTCTCGGAATTAGTCAATAGAAGCTAGATGGAAGCTATTATGTAGCATGGTTATAAGCTTGCTTGTTATGGTTCAAGCTACATCTTTGGATGGATATTTGAGTGGAAAGGTTAAGAAGCCTAGTGAATGTGGTTCTCCTTTGAACCAGTGGACATCAGACAAGGCCTTAATTATGTCTTGGTTGCTTAATTCAACGTAATCCTCTATCAGTCATGGTTTTCTGGTGCTTGATATAACCCATAAAATTTGGACTACTATGGCTTACATTTGTTTCCAAACGGGCAATGATACTATGGCGTATAACCTTCGAAAGAAAGTTTGGGAGACCAACCGAAAGGATAGAGACACTTGCAATGTACTATGCAAAGTTGATTACGTTATGACAGTAGCTTGATTACTATCAGAATTTCTAGGCAGAGTTTACTAATGATGCCATAAAATATTAGCAGACGGGTGTATGACTTTCTTGCTGGTCTTGACATGGAGTACGATTAGGTTCGGGTTTAGATTTTGGGTCGTAGTTTATTTCCTAATTTACAAGAGGCCTATGCCCATGGTCAACAGGAGGAGAGCCAGAGGATTGCCATGGTTTATGCTCCTATTCAGGATCAGTTTGTGTTGGTTGTTATCCCTCAGCGTGACTTGAGCTTAGCTTTACCCAAAGTCCACAAAGGAAAGTAGCACTGTTGTTAAGAATATCTTAAAGTGTGACTATTGTAAGAAGACTAGGTATACTAGGAAGTTCTATTTGAAATTGACTAGATACCCCTCTTGTTGCTGAGGTGGTGGATAGGAGGTAAAGTGCGATCCAATGCACATATAACTGGTTCTTCAGAGATTCCATCTTAGTCTGCTCACTTCAATTTCTCTTATGACAAGATGCAAACTCGTAGATGTTTGATGACTCGACTTGATGTTTCCTCTACCACAGCTCGTAATTATACCTCTTCTTTAAACTTTGCTTATACAGGTATATCTGCTCGTATGTTTATTGCGTTGTTCTCATACACTCCTTGAATAATAGATTTTGGAGCCACTGATCATAATACTGGTTCTTCTAATTTTTTTTTCATATTCTACAAGTTCAGGTAGGGATAAAGTCAAAGTGACAAATGGATCTTTATCCTCTATTTCTGGGAAATGTTCAATTGATTGCACGTCTACCTTAACCCTCTCATCTGTTCTCCATGTTTCAAATTTCTCTACTAATTTATTGTTTATTTGTAGTATTACAAAATCTTTGAATTGTTCAGTAATATTTTTTCCTACTCATTATATCTTTCAAGAACTGGAATTGAGAAAAACGATTAGTAATGGTAAAGTAAATGGTGGTTTGTATCTTTTGGATGCTGAAGCTTCTCCTCAGTTTACCAGTCAAGATCTCCAGGCAGATGGTGTATCATCTCTTTAGTTCTTACATCAATGACATAAGCATTTGGGGCATCCCTCATTTGGTGTCTTAGAGTATCTTTTTCCTAGTTTAGTGAAATAGTGTAGTAGACAATTTTTTGTTTGTGATGCTTGTGAATTTGCCAAGTATAAACGTTCATCTTATCCAAGTACTAATAATAAAAGTAGTGCTTCTTTTGCCATTATTCATTCTGATGTGTTATGTGTGGGGCCTTCTCGTGTTGTGTCTATCTCGGACTTGTCACTTTTATTGATTATTATTCTCGTCTCACTTAGGTTTACCTACTACGTATTAAAAGTGAAGTTTTCTCATACTTTAGATTTTTTCACAAAATGGTGAGTGCCCAGTTTGATGCTAAAATAAAAATTCTTCAAAGTGACAATAAAATTGAATGTATAGATGGAAAATTTTGAAATGAGAATGGTATTTTGTATTAAACCATTTGTGTTAGTACCCTTGAACAGAATGGTGTTGCACAACGGAAAAGCCGCCATCTTCTTTGAGGTTGCATGTTCATTATTGTTTACTATGAATGCTCCTCAATCTTTTGGGGGGAAGGCAGTGGTTGCTGCAGTTTATCTTGTTAATCATCTACCCTCAATTATCCTTCAATTTCAATCACTCATTTAGTGTATGTCTGAGTCTTCGTCTATTTTTTCCCTCCACCTAAAATTTTTGGGTGTTTGTTTTATCCATGATTATACCTTTCGTGTGAAAATTTGATCCAAGGCTTTACGATGTATCTTTGTTGGTTATTCTGTCACACATATATAAATTCTATCATCCAAAGTATCAAAAATGTATGTCAGCATGGATGTTACCTTTCGTGAATTTGATTCCTTATTCTTTGTTTTTCAACCATCTCTTTTGGAGAGAGAGAGAGAGAGAGAGGAAGGAGAGAATACCACTATACAGTAAGAGATGTTTTGTTAGAAGTCCCTTCTTCAACTATATGTTCAATGGAATGCCAGTGAGGGGGTGGAGGAAAAATGGGGTAAGAGTGGTTCACATGTTAATCTTGACAACGATAATCTAAAGACTTATTCTCAGCATCAAAAGATACAGGTTAGTCATGCACCATTACTTTAGTTGAATTCCTCTATTCTACTTTCATCCTCCACTGATTCATTGGGTAATGAATCTCCACATGTTACTCCCATTGTGAATAGTCTAGTTGCTGAGCTTCTTATTGCAGTTAGAAAGGGTGTCCGAACTCATATTAAACATCCTATCTCCAATTTTATCTCTTATGATTCTTTGTCCTATCCTATCATACATTTGTTTCCTACTTGTCATTTGTATCTATTCCTCTGGGTTGGGAAGAGGCTCTCACTGATCCTAATTAGAGAGAAGTTATGGTAGAGGAAACGAAAGTCTTGAAAAAAAATGACTCATGGAAGTTGGTTCTTACTATCAAACGACAAGCTATGGAACGTGCGAGAGGTACAAAGCCAAGCTAGTTGCTAAGGATTTATTCAGACATATGGTATTGATTACCAAGAGATTTTTGCTCCCCGTGGCAAAGATGAACTCCATACGTACTCTTATCTCATGTGTAGCAAGTTTGGGGTTGAGTTTATAGCAGTTGGATGTGAATAATGTCTTTCTTCACAGAGATTTAGAGGAAGAGGTATACATGGAGATTCCTCCAGGGTTTTCATCTCAAATATCTGAAGGCAAGATGCGTAAGCTGAAGATATCTTTTTATGGATTGAAGCAATCTCCCCGAGCTTGTTTGATAGCTATATTGAAATGTGGATATAAACAAAGTCATACCGATTATACTTTGTTCATCAGATATGTGATGGCAAGATTGCAGTTTTTATTGTATATGTGGATGACATAGCGATAACTGGAAATGATGGTCACGAAATCATCAAATTGAAAGCTCAGTTGACTAAGGAGTTTGAAATCAAAAACTTGGGTCCACTGAGATATTTTCTTGGGATTGAGGTTTCTAGATCAGACAAAGACATCTTTTATCTCTAAGAGAAAGTATGTTTTTGACATTCTTGAAGAGATAGTGATGTTGGGATGCGGACGTACAGATACTCCTATTGAAGTCAATCATCAACTGAGTGGTCGTGTTACTGAGGTAGTAGAAAAAGAGAGATACCTGGTGGGGACATTAATTTATCTTTCAAATACTCAGCTAGATATTCTTTATGCAGTGGGTGTTGTTAGTCAATTCATGTACGATCCTCAAACCCCTCGTCTTGAAGTCATGTATTGCATATTGAGGTATCTCAAATCAACTATAGGAAAAGGGATCCTATTCTCTAATTATGACTTGGAAGCATTTAGTGATGCAAACTGGACAGGTTTAGGGGATGATAGACGATCTATTTCAGGTTATTGCACCTTGACCGTAGGATATCTTGTCACACAATGAACCAAGAAGTAGGCAGTAGTGGCTAGATCTAATGCATAAGCTGAATATAGATCCATGTGCCATAGAGTCTGTGAGCTTATGTGGTTCCAAACATAGTGGGAGAGTTGAGAATTTATGATGATTGGCCTATGAGACTATATTGTGACGAGAAGACTTTTATCAACGTTACTCATAATCCGATTCAACATGACAAGACTAAACATGTTGAAATTGATCAGCACTTCATTAAAGTAAAGTTAAACAAGGGTTTGATTTGCATGCCTTTAGTAAAATCAGAAAATTAGTTACTTGATGTTTTCTCAAAGGGACTTTAGTAATAAGGTTTTTCACCCCATTGTTTGCAAATTGGGCATGAGGAATATCTATGCACCAACTTGAGGGGGAGTGTTACGTTATGTGTTATTTCTAGAATAAGGGTAATTTAGTCATCTGCGTCTTTATATATATAAACAAGATGTAGTTGTGTAACCTAACACACTACCCTATTTTGACAATCTTCTCTCTTTTTCCTATTATTTTTTCTCGCTCTCTCAAAACCCTAACGACTATATAACTTAACTGTGGCCGACTCAACTTTGTTCAAACTTACATTGGCTAGCTCATTGCCTATTTCTAAAGGTGTAATGAGTTCAGCCAAGCCAAGCAGAAGGTTGTTCAAGCTTGGCTTGATATTTTGCCAAGCTGTAAAATGAAGCTTTGAGCTATTGTTGTTTGGCTCACGAGCTGATCTTGATCTAGGCCTAGGGGCCAATAATGTGCCAAGCTTGAGTAATTTGGTTTTTTATATAGTTTTCACAAAGTAGTTAGCTTATCAAACTGAACTCAAGTTGATCTCAATAAATTTGACAGGCTTAAAAAAATATCTTAAGATATAGCTTGTTTGTCTCACAAAGCGATCTCAAGCGAACCTCAAAGGAGTTGCTTTCTAATTGAGCTCGATTAACTTGGTTTTGTTTTGGTGCCCCTTACCCTTGCTTTGAATTTTAGTTTCAACTGGTTTGTGGATTTTGTCATTAGTATTTTTATTTTTGTCTGTATAGAGAAGATTGGTCTGCATTGTTATTAGTTCAGCAACAAGAAGTTTCTGGGTGAACAGTAGTAAAATTGTAATAAATTTAAAAGGGTACTAATATTTCTACATGCTGTACGAACAGAAATAAAGCTAGTTCTAAGTTTAGCTTGTGCTGTTATGCTAGCGGTAGCCTTTATCATTGCACAAGAAATAAAAAAATAGTCTGCCTCATCTACCAGATCTTTTAACTTCCTCAGCATTTTTTATTTTTTTTATCTTTACTAAGTGTTTCTAATATTTTTTGATATTCACATTATTCCAGCTCACAGGACACATTAATAAGATGGTTGCATTGCAGAACTTACTGGAGCCTTATGGCATTTGTGAGGTTTGTTGCCCTGATTTCTGTTCCTGCCATCATTCGTCCCAATCTTATTAACTGGCAAATGAACTCCAGAAATTCTCATGTATCCGAAATTGATTTGCAGAAATTGATGTTGAATTTACAATTAAAAAAAAAAGGAAAAAAATTAGTTGGATTGACTTGATTTGTTTTATGTTTTCGCGTTAGATGGCTTATTCGAATGAAGTGTTAAACCTTGGTTCAAGCTGTTCAGTTCTTTTGTTGTCGTGCGTATTTGAATGTAAGGGCCTAGACAACTTATACACACTGTTAGTTGGTTCTGGTGGTCCTTGAGCATACAAGGAACCAAAATTTGATGGAGGGTCTTTAGATATCTCTGTTCCAACTCCTTGAGGTCTGCTACATAGATCCTTAATTTCCAGCCTCCTGTCATGTCCTTGCTCATAGCCTCAACTCATCTGATTTTGGCCTTCACATGCCACTGTTAAACTCCTAAAACATGCATTTTTCTAATATCAGTTCTTTGCTACTATGGTCACTAATCTATGTTGAGATCCCTGCGGTCTGGATATCTACAGATTAAAGTTAATAACAGTGGTTGGGTTAGAATTAGGCTGCGTAAGATTGAAGGTTACACAGGCAAAAAGCTTGTAGTTAATACGAAGGATAAATTTTTTTCCCAGAGGCAATTTATTTATCATGTTCTACCCATGGCCTCTCCTCTGCCCCACCATCCCAAGGATAAAAAAGAATGAGAAAAGGGAAGATATAGTATTTGAGCTTAACCTGAGCCTTGCTTCATTATTAGTATGGACCCTGGTCTATGTTATTCAATTGAACTGCATGCAGGGTAATGATCCATACCTTCCATGAATATGTGGCCTTGGGTGGTGGCACACATTTATGGCAGCCCTAGCATATTATAGTAAGGAAACACAGGGTATGTCTTGGAATTGGATGGCATAAGTACCTTTCAGCCATAATGGTTTTTAGCACCCATTCTCTTTACTGTATTTTGTGTTCTGTTTGGTATGACCGATATAGCTCCATATGTCTAGCAACTATTGTTTTTTCCTTTGTATGTGGGTAGGTAGGGTTTTCTTTAGCTGGGTTTTGTTTTGTTTTTTTTGGGGGGGAGGGGGGATCTGCAATTTTCTAACTATGCTGATTCTAATTTCTATTGAAGGTGGCAAGGACCGGACGGGTGGCATTGGTGCGGGAGTTGGGTGTGGATTCTACATACCTCAGAGGGTTCCCTCTTCCTTTATAGATAGTATTGCCTAAGAATGTTGTACGGATATGTTATCTCTTTTAGTTATTTTCATGTTCTTTCTCAATATTGTAAAAGGAAAATTAGTGATGTAGGATTATTCTACCTTAGTATTCGTCATTTGGTGGCCGGAAAGTGGGCGTAAATCTGCCCGCCCTTCAAGTAATAGTTGAGTGCCCGCTTGATGAAACCCGGGAACCTTTTCATCATAATGTTATGTCTTAGTTTATGGACACCCTATTACCTGTTTTTAACTTGGGATATTTTATTACTTCAACTTTTTCATGGATCTGACAATTTCTAGACAATAAAACTTGATGAGCATAACCATCAAAACTGATGAAGCTGCGATCTTGGCAGCAAATAATGCGTAACCATCAAAACTGAATAATGCATTGTGATCATTGAATTGATAATTAATTTTTTCTAATGTTGGAATTCATTGTTTATTAAATTGTCACAATGCATTAAATTCTTAAGTTAGTTCTTCAAATTCATTGTTTATGCACGTAGATCATTTTGATTTTATACTTTTAGTTTTATTTTTTTGATTGCATAAACATCATTCAGGTCAAAGAAATAATGAGAGTAAGTGTGAGAAAAATTTTATTTTTTGAATTTTGATCGGCATAGTTACGTATGAGGAAGAAGAAATAGTGACTTAGAAAAGTAAATTATGCCCCGATACAATTTTAATTCAAAATGTGGATACAATTTTCTTTAGAATTAATATATGAATATAACGTTTTAAGGCATTATCTTCTCAAGAAACTACACCTCTAAAAATGTAGAACATTTCACTTGAAATTAATATATGAGAAGAATTTTAGGTGTAATATCATGATAATAATGGAAATATCTATATAATAAAATATAATATAATTTAAAATTTAAATGATAAATAAAATAATTTTTGTTTTTCACGGTTGAGATTGTTTTAAAATTTTATTTTAAAGTTAATCTAACGATAAATATTGACACCTCAAATTTAATAAAAAAAAAATAAGTTCGTAAGGGTGTGTTTGAGATAATTTTTGAAAGTGTTTCTAAAATTTATAATTTTTCATAAATATTTAAAAAAAAAATAGCATTTGAAATCGCCTTACCACCACCACTACCACCACCCCCACCCCAACATCCCCATTACTATCACCACTATCACCACCACTGCCATCCCACCACCACCACCACCGCCGTTGCCATAATCTTTGTTATAACAACTACCACCACTATCGTCGTCGCCACCCCCACCTCTCAGCCACCACCCACCCCCACCACCATCACCATCACCATCACCATCACCTCATCTTCCACAACAAACACCACCATTGGCCTACCACTACTGCCACCACCACTGCAATCACTCTATCACCACCACCCCCACCATCATCCACCCCCCATCACCATTATTATCACCACCACCGTTGCCGTTACCCTATCACCGTCGCCACTGTCCCACCACTATCCCTTACCACCATCATCCTCACTGCCCCACCACCACCACCACCACCACCACCACCTTCATCACCACCATTATTGTCATCCACCGCCGATTATTATCACCATCGTCCAGTGGCACCACTCATCACTATTGTCATCTTATTTTTATATTTATTATCACTACTACATCATCCAACTATCACCATCTCCCACTGTCAGCACCCACCAACACTATTGTTATCCACCATCAATCCTACCACCACCACCCCTACTACCCCACCACCATCATCGTTGCCTTTCACGATTGCCACCATTAGTATAGTTGTCACCCACCTCAATCATCAACGTCTCCCACCACCACTACCATCGCTCTTCCCCACTACAATCAGTGCTTAAATTCCTTTCTTTTTACTCAATCTTTGTGATTTGATTTTGGATATGACTACAAATTTGTTTATTATTAATTATTTTTTTTTATTACTTCGTGTTTTCAAGCATGAAAAATAACTAGTTTATATAATAAAGTAGCTTATAATTCAAAATTTTAAAAATAAACAAAATGACTTTTGCTTTTCGCATTTCAGATCGCTTTAAATTTTATTTTAAAGTTAATCTAACGGCTAATATTAACACTCTAAATTTAATAGAAAAAATAGGTCCCTAGGGGTGTGTTTGGAGTGACTTTTTAAAATTACTTTTAGAAATTATTTTTCATAAGTATTTAAAAAAAAATAGTATTTGAAACTGCTCCACTACTACCTCTACCACAACCACCGTCGCCACCACTGCCACCGTCGTCACTGCCACCACCACCACCATCACCGCCACCCCCACCACCATTATTGCTGCCGCTGCTATCACCACCACCACCATCATCGCCACCACTACCGCGGCCACCATGGTCATTACCACCCACCACAACCATCACCGTCTCCTATCACCACCATTGTCGCCCATCACTTTTCGCCCCTATTACAATCAATGATTAAATTCATTTCTCTTTCATTTATGTTTGTGATTTGATTTTTAATGTAAATATAAATATGTTTATTTTTTATTATTTTTTATTATTTTGTGCTTTCAGGCATAAACAATAACTAGTTTATATAATAAAATATAATATAATTTAAATCTTAAAAGATAAATAAAATGACTTTTGCTATTCGTGGTTGAGATTACTTTAAATTTTATTTTAAAACTAATCTAACGACTAATATTAACAATCTAAATTTAGTATGAAAAATATGCCCCTAAGAATGTGTTTGGATTGACTTTTTAAAAAGAATTTCTAGAACTTATAACTATTTATGAATACTTTAAAAAAAAATAGTATTTAGAACCGCTCTACTACTACCTTTAACACCACCACCCCACCACTATCACTATCGCCACCCTAACATACCCATTACCCCACAACCACTACCATCACTGTCGGCGCTACCACCACCATCACCATTTCTATTGCCTCATCACTACCACCACCACCTCACCATCATCACTACCACTACCACCACTATCACACATTACCATCATCACCACCATTGTCTCACCTTACCACCACTACTACTTCCCCACCATCACCCTTACCACCCTCACCATCCCACCACCACCCCTATAACCATCACAACTACCACCACCATCGCCAACCCACTCCCCAACCCCACCCTCACTGCCCCACCGCCACCATTACCACCCACCATCGATTGTTATTATCGTCGTTTATGGCCACCACCCACCACCATTTTTATCTTATTCTTATATTTATTATTATTACCACAATTATCCTACTACCACCGTTGCCCACCGTCAGCATCCACCACCACCCATTGCCACCAGCCACTGTCACCCACCACTACCTATCATTGCCCACCACTGCAGTCACCCACTATCACCTACCCCCACTAACCGTCGTCATTCGCCACTACAAAACACATTGTCACCTAGAAGCACCCATCGTTGTCCACCACCACCATCATCGCTGCCCACCGCCACCATCATCGTCCCACCACCACCACCACCATTGTTGCCATCCATGGCTGCTACTTCCATCATCGTCACTCAAAATCCACCATCACCATTGCCACCCACGGCTACTACCATCACCACAGTCATCGCCTTACCCACCACAACCATCACCACTGTCGTCCACCACTACTACCACCGCTCACCTTTACTACAATCGGTGTTTAGATTTATTTATCTCTCCTTTATTTTTTGTAATTTGACTTTGGGTGTAAATATAAATATGTTTACCATTTTTTTTATTATTCTATATCTTCGGACACTAGGAATAACTAGTATATATATATATATATTAAAACAATCATGAAAACTTATAGATATGTAAAAAATGCAAGGATGAAAATAGGTTATAGGTTATGTTGGCCAGTAATTATAAAAATTTGGTCGAACCAAATTGATAAATACAAAAAAAAAAAATTGTAGAAAGGAAATAAATAACTTATATTGATAAGCAAATTAATGCAATAATGAAACATTTAAATGATTGTTCATCTACTAATATAAACAATATAATAGAAACAATCCTACTTAATATGGTTACGTATCATTAAAAAAGGACAATGTAGTAATATTCATAATATTATATAGAAGATGAAATCTTATGTTTTGCATAGTATTATTATCCAAGTTGTATTACTTTGAATTCTAGGTCAATATTATCTTTATGTTATTTAATATGAAAATTCAAATGATTGATTGTCAACTCCTAGAAATAGCCAAATAAAAATAAATATACATATTATTAGTGATTAACATTGTATTTTAAATGGAAGAAGATGAAAGGTTTGGACGCCCATGGTATTAATGAAGTTGGGTTGATATGAATTCCGTATTAAATAAAGTTAATACTATATTTATGTTTTGTTTCACCATAGAATAGTCACATAAAAGTATTTCTTGCTAGCAAACATTTTATTAGTAACTAATAGTTGCACACAGGTGCTGCACCTGAATTCGAAGTATGAAATATTGTACATCAAAATTGTGAACCATTCTTTCCAGAACCCACAATATCAGCAAATATTACCAATGAAATAACAGTAATGCTATTGGGACATACAATGAGGACATGAAATAGGAATATAATGATGTAGCATCTTACATAGATTTGCCATGCCATTAAAATTCTGCCAACTAGCTTATTTATTTATTTTTTACTGACTTTTCATTCTTCAACTTGTTTAGGACTCCTACTTTGGATTGCCCACTTCCCTCTGCCATTGCATTCATTGTATTCTTTACCAACAAGCAACGGAGCTTGGGCTCTCTTCGATACACGTCTTTGAATCACTCAAGGAACCCAGTTCCACAGTATATACAATCAAAATCTTCTCCCTTCCATTCGACTGGACCCGAATACTCAAGTTGGAAATAAAACCCTTTTTTCTCACAACAGTACGATACCCACTTTTAATAAGAAATGGAGCAAAAATCCAAATATAATACACATAAAAAACTCATCCAATCATAGGCGGAGAGGACTGGCGAAAAATTGTTTGATGTGTTTTTGAAAATTGATAGAAGAATAGTGTAAGGATTGAAGGGCTATAGTAGATTCAGAGATCGAGAGTGATTATTGAATGGTGTCGGCTGGGTTCATGGAGACGAAACTATGAGCTGCTATTGTTGGTGTCGGTTGGGTTTATGGGTTGCTTCATTATCATAGGGGAATATCAAGTACTGGAGAATAAACCCAAATACCAGAGGGTGTCAAAATAAATTACCCTACAGGCTGGTTTAGATGTCTATTCTTTCGCTGAGATTTCTTGATGTCCACCTGATAACAACTAGGCTAATTTTAGTAGATGAGCAGTGAGAAGCTTCATACATACAAACTACCAGAACGGGCATTGTTTACTCCTGAGAGATGAAAACAATGTAATAACACATATGGAGTTAGTTTGAACAGGAAGGGTTCATGCTTACTACTTTGAAGTTCAAAGTTCGTGAATTACCTACCTGATGTTCATGGCTCGAGTGTGGTTGAACACATTCGGATTGTACATCATGGAGTACAAAGGATGCATGATTGGACCATTCTTTGTCACAAAAAAAAAAAAAGGCATAATACATGTGCATGCTAAACAGAAATCTTAAGCTGATTAGAAAGTATGATTTGCAATTGAGAGGGCACAGTATGACAGATCTATAAGGTGGAGTCTAGATGTCAGACCAGCCACCTTCACATGGTTACACTTGAGTTAGTAGTTCATGGTGCACCACAGGGTAATTAGATCTCAACAAACTCAGGGTAAAGTATACCACACTACACGAGCATTATTCGTGGGCAACACAGATGATCTGCTTACCAACATTTTCCCCAGAAAACAGCCCGACAAAGGCAGCTGGAGCACTTTCCAAACCTTTGTGCATGTCCTCGATGTAAACAACCTTCCCCTGCTTGTATAAACTGGTAACATCTTCCAGAAAGCGTGGGAATATATGCAGGTAATCGCTCTGCAGGAATCCCTGCATCCTTGTGCGCTTTGTTATGAGACTGAACAAATTGTGAATTCCTTGCAGATCAGACAAGCTATGCTGAGACACCATCCCGCAAATGGCAATCCGGCCATGAATCCTCATGTTGAGAAGAGCTGCATCGAGCATGGCTCCACCAACATTATCAAAGTAAATGTCAATCCCTTGTGGAAAGTACCTGTTCAGTGAAACTAAAAACAAGTTGGTGAGAGGATTCAGGTTGACTATCATCCATGCAGCTGAATCTATATAACAGACATTGCAACTTCCAGAAAACTGACGTGCAGTCCAAAAATAGGGATAAAACGATGATTCTTGCTGCATAGAATGTTACAATATGATGGACAGATTCTTGCATAAAAATGGTTTTTGTCTGGTCCACTATTATATCTCTTCTCACCTGTAGACCTCAGGATTTATTCACCTGAGGTTTCAGGAAAAACTCCATGCTTTTTGGTGGTACATAAAAGTATCAAGATTGATTTCAATGATTTTAGAATTTACATATTAGATTGGGCCAATTGACATGTTTTGGCATATCTCTAATTGTGAGCGTGTCAAAGTCCAAATGGGCTTAATTACTCAAAACAGTACGATCTTACATATTCGAACCGGCATACAAGGTTCTAAAATCATGACTATTTAGGCAATTAAAACGAAGCGTAAGACTACCTCTAGATCCCCTAGGAGGAGGCTAACAAACTGGAAAGTAAAAGAATGGAATGGAATTGGAGCAAACAGTAAAGTAAATAACAAAGCATAATTGATGCATAAACTACTGTGCTTGAATTGGAATTGAAAGAAGTCGCCGGAGTGCCGACAGAATTACGGAGTAAAATAAGAGTATAAACTAAACAATGCAGAGATGGACTCTGGTATGTTGCTTGCAGGAGTGTTGATCGTGGGATCTTTTCTCTGTTGCAAAGTCATCTATCTTTATAGGTGGTGGCTTTTAAACGTTGGAGCCGTCTTTTCAGGCCACTAAACCAGTGCTCGTGGCCTCTTTCTTCAATGGCTATGATCATGCGACAGACCGTCTACAACCGACAGCTCAACGACGTCATACCTGATACGCCACTTCGTTTTCCAAGATCTTTAGAGTTCTTTTCTCATAACTGTCTTATCCCCTTGGACCTCCTCTGACTCAATCCTGGCCATTGAATCTTGCCATGTTTCATTCTCAAATTTTTTAATGCTTTGGCGTAAACACATGTCAAAGGATTACTTGCAGAACTAGAGAGGGCTATGAGAGAATAATTTTTTACAAAAACCACAAATGCTAGGTTTGCTCCATTGTTCAGGATAGTAGCTTGTGAGGATAGTTTGTTGGGTTGAGAAGAAAGTCAAGAACTGGTTGAAATAGTTGATGATGTGCAACAAATACGACCAACTAACCAGTGAGGTTTTATAGTTTGAAGCTTGTAGTTATTAGTGTTGGAGGCCATGTTGAGACGGGATTGAACTTCAGAGTATTAATATAGGATCATGTAGCATCCCCAAAATAGTTACGGAAAAAAGCATTAAGTAATTTGATTTAAGATTATTTTTCAATTTTTTAGATTTTAATGAACATATTTTGTGCTGATTCCATATTTTCCCTAAGAAAAATATTTTGTTTTAAGATTTGAAATTTCCAGGGCCTTAGGAAATCAAATAAAGATTTTAATTTCATCCAAATCAAACACTTTTTTGTATTTCTTTGGTGTCTCTTCACAGCTAAAGATGAATTATAAGAGAAATCAAAGAAAAAATACAGTAATAGAATAGCTTTTAAGTTCTGATAGAAGTAAACGTTTGACTTTTTACTTGGTGTTATTTGCAAAAATCAGAATGTTGAGATGAAGGGTTTGACAGCACTACATGTTTTTCAATCCAGCATTTTCTCACCTACAAGGGTTCATGCAGGTGAGTAATACATACTTACACAATGATGGCTTATATATATGAAAATTGGTATACTTTCTATATCTTATACCTAACAAAATTATAAAAAAGATGAACGTAGAACTGTTGTCGTGGGTCTAGTAGTGAGGCAAAAGTTGGATTGGTCATCGAATTTACCGTGTTGAGCATCCATCATAGCTTACCTAGCTAAGTGAGCTTGAGGTGCACGGGGCGGATTCGACGTATGCCGCTTGAATTAGGTGAAGTTTGACAACAATCATTTACTTTGTTTTAAGCTCAGATCATTTACTACATATGCTTTTAATGTATTTGAAATTTTACAGTTAAAAAACACACCATAAACCTGTCGTGGTTTCAGAAGAAGTATTTTTTGGATATACATCAGTAGATGCTAGAACAATGAATAACCAACTATTACAATTTTTTAATCATTCATCTATAGCAGATGATAAGGCAACCATAATGGGGATGAAGAGAAGTCCAAAGGAAACCCTCAAAGAGGGACATAAGATATTAATCTTTGCCTTGGGCAAGGATTGACCTATTAACCTCTTGGTTTGACAGGACATTGAGAGAGTCAAGAAAAACCAAGTTAGACCCAATTGGGTTGTTTCTAGAAGTAAGTATTTTGGAATGTGACCTTCAGGCACACTGAGCGACTGACAATAACATAGCTAGGCAAAACTTTCTTGGCTTGGCAAGTTTGTAATGCCCTACAAATGATGGAATGACACATCATCACCTTTCCTACTTCTTTGGTTGAAATTGAAGGCTATGCAAGTACCAAGACCCTGCTTGCATAGAAAGACTCAAATAATTCAGCCTTTCACCTAATGAATGAGGGCAGCAATAAATAATTTGAAAAACAAGTAGGGGAAGCAATAGGCCTCTTCCACCAGGTGGAAGATTAAAGAGATCTGTATAGTAGTCTCTACAACATTCTATTTTAAAAATAAAACATTGTAATTCCCTTGCCTTCTCCAGTTAAGTTAAAAAATGTGTATAAGTTCTGTATTTGAATCTGAGTAAAATTCAACATATTGTTTATGGTTTCACAAAATACCAAATATAGCTCCTGTGGATGCTTGCAGTCTCTGAGACTTGGAAAAAAAGTTGAGAAAGGAAGGCAAACTATTACCATTTACAAGAGAAAAATGATGGCTTGAGGAGTAGATATGATTAGCAATCTCCATGTTAAGAAGCCTATCTAAACATTTGATCACTAAATAAAATCATTAGTCTACTTGGGCAGTAAAAACACCAAAAACTCATATCTTAGCAAATATTAAGATTCTTCCAAGGCCACATAATTGTTATACAATTTTCAAACGATTCTGTTACCTTTTCAAAGCTGCATCAAGATCTGGTTCTTCTTTATAGTTAAAAGCTTCATCAAAACCGAGCTTATTCTTCAGAAGATCAACCTGATATTTGCCCCCACCGATAGCAATAAACGATACAACAGGCCAGATTTTTTGCAGAAAAAAATCACTTAAATCAATCAAAACAATTGTGAATCTTTGTAAAGAGATGCTGCATCAGAAATATGTCAGAAATAACAGAGCTTACTTTCTGGCCACTGCCAGCACATCCAACGACATAGCATCCATGTAAATTAGCAAGTTGTCCAACAAGCTGACCAACAGCTCCAGAAGCAGCAGATACAAAAACATAGTCCCCTTTTCTAGGGGCACAAACCTCATAAAATCCAGAATACGCAGTAAAACCTGGCATTCCTGCATGACAAGTTTATACCTAGTCTACTTCAAGCAAGTAAAATGCTTGAGGTATCAACAACTAACTTACAATAGACAAATATATAATTAATTTTTCTGATTGACAAAAGTTTTACATAACACAGTTAAGGTCATTTTGTTTTATTCCGAGGGGTAGTTGACTGCTTGAGAAAGTGAACGTGTGAGATAGATGGATGGAGATGCAATTCTTGGATTTGATCCTTTTCTCTATAGCAAAGTAAAAAAAGAACTACACACAAAAGTAGACAAGAAATCATTCAAGGATCTCATGAACTGAAACTTAAGAAGGAGATTATGGTTCACAAAATTAATGATGATGGTTGTGTGCTTTATGTTGATCGGGACATAAGAAAAAGTGGAGATAGCAGTCTATGATATGGTAGTTGCATAGCTCTGTGGACAAATTAGCTGCAATAAGTGGTCTTGCAATGCATGGCTCTGAGTAAACAACATAGATGAAAATGAAAAATTATAGTCAATGATTTAATCTGGATCATGGTAATAAATTCAATACTTCATGGCCGTCAGATTAGAACTTTATTCAGGGATATGAAGTTGGTAGGAACGAAAATTGAGGTCTCTTTAATCCGAAAATATTTTATAGTGGAAGGAATCTTCATTAACAGAACATTGACTTGGGTTCCAGGACAAAACTAGTCAAAACACTAAAAGCACCAAGCCAGCCATTGATGCAAAACAAGTTGCCCAAAATTCATTCGCTCTTCTTTCATAATTAATAATTATACAGAGGTTGGTAAAGTGCACTATACGCTGATTACTATATGAAATAATTTAGTTGCCATTATTAAAAAAGGGTTTTTAACCTTGAATTGGGGCATTTTTTCTTGGGGGGGGAGGGGGGGGGGTAGTAACTTCAGAAAAATCAACAGGTTAATTCATGTAGGGAACCACCTCAAAACAAATGCATTGAACCTCCTTAGGCACAATGGATCCAACTCCAACCATCGCCAACTCACAGGTGAGAATTTTCTACAACTTCAGCCAAAAAGAAGAAACAAAAATTTCAAACTAAATAACATTAGATAGTGAAAGCCCAACAACCGCCATTGAGCACACAGACATTTTACCTACTCAACCAGCAGGATCTTTAAAAAGCGAACTCACTCGCAAACGAAATCCAAAATTTTGAAAGCCAGAAGTCACCATGTAGAATTCTCACTAGCCATTATTGAAGAAGCCGATGAGGGTGTTTGCTTGTATGTTTGGAATTGACATATAAAGAAGTGTTGCTATAAATTAAATGCACATCCAATTTCTGAACTGAAAAAAAAAAAAAAATCATACCAAGAAGACCCACATAGTATGAAAGGGGAACATCATCTGGCTGAATTTTCCTCAACTGCTCAGTCCTATATATCAAGCTGTACTCTTCCCAACCCGTCATTCCTGAAACCAAATCACCCGTTTTGAAGTTGGGGTTATCAGAATCCACAACTCTCGACAATCCGAATCCGTCGATTACCTTAACAATAGTATTCAGCAGTCAAGCGATTTGAATTCGACGGCATTGAGGAATAAGGGCAGTAAGTATGCAAATTACACTTCGACCCTGAAGTACTACTCCTTGTTAAACATTGCCAACTACACTATCCACTTTACACCTTATATTATTAATCTCAGTTTCAGACTGCCTTAATCGTTAACTTGTATCCAAATTTTCACAGTAAATCAAGGCAAGCATGAAATTCCATAACGTTAGGAGAAGTGATATTTCTATCCTTAGTTGGGAGAAATTCCAGTTTTGTCAAAGTTAAACGAGTGGGACAATGTGCAGCTCAAACTAGATCAAGGTGCAATGCAAAAAAATGAATAATTGAAGGGTTAATGTGAAATGATGGGAATAGTTCAAGGGTGTAAGTAGCTCTAGTAAGTAAGAATGAATAAGAAATGAAAGTAATTACCGAACCAGGGACGAAAGGGGGAATGTAGGAGCCATGGAAGTCGCGCATTCGACCGCGCATGTAAGGATCGCAGGAGAGATAAAGGTTGTTGACCAGAAATGCCCCCGAACCCTTTGGAGCCTCCAGCTTGATGTTGTTGCCGACCTTGAGCTCCATGTCAGTCTGCTTCGGAGATCCCTCAATGTATCCTTTGAATATAATTTGTTTGTTCTCCACTACTCTTCCTACTTCCCCCATTGTCGTTATTTTCTTCTGTATCAATCAATCGATCAGTGACTCGTTAAATTGGGATGGCTTTGTTGAGTGTTGGTTGTTCAACAAAGAGTTTGTAGATCGACGGAAAGGTTTTGACTGAGTTCTGGAGGGGAAGTTAGTTGCTACCAAACACAGCCCGCTGGTATCTTCAACCTACCTACTCTCCCTGCCTTGCTTTTTCTTTAAATTAAATATTATTTTAAATTTATTAAACTTAATTTTTTATTTTTCATATTTTATTATAAAATTATGAAAATTTTGTATTTTCTCAAAATTCTTTGTTTTAACTATAAAAAAAACAAAGATAAAAAAAAATAGTTAAAGTTCTATTTTTTTTTTAAGAATTTTATGATTGAGATTAATTTTTTAGTAATGTTTGAGAAATAAATTTCTTGAAATTTATTTGATTAGGATTCCAATTATAATTTCTTGAATAAAATAAAAGAAATTCTCAATATACTAATCACATTAGAACCTTACTATAATTAAAAATTAGTTAAGACAATTGGTATAAGATTTAACATACTACTCTAAAATAATATATACCATCAAGCATATTAAAATTTTACAAAAATTTCAAATTTTTACTTAAAAAATATATTATAATATCTATTTTTATATAAAATCTTAGTGCAACTTAAAAAGTTTATCGTGATTGAAGAATTATACAAACATAACATAAATTAATTTTAAAAAACTATAAATATGATTTTTTTTATCTTAAAAATAAAAGAGTTAAACTTTTCGATAAAAAATAAAATACACATATGTAAGTATAATGTTATCTTTGCATATGAGTGAGTAATGTTAGATTGATTGAATATTTGAAAGTTTTTTCAACATTTTACTGAAAGTATGATGCATATTTTTTAAGAGAAATATAGTTAATCAATTTTTTTTATGGAATCTTATATTTATAAATAAAGAATAATTTGAAAAGAAATGTTGTAGATAATTTGGAAGTTTAATTATATAAAGATATGATAGTAATTTAAATATTTAATTGTGAAATTATAGAGTGGTATTTGCAATCCTTTATAAGGGAAAAATAGAGATTCAAATTTTTTTCATTTTAATGTACTTTTATTAATAGTGTATATATATATATATATATATAGATAGGATTTTTTTGTCTTTCTGGTAATACTAAGGCTAAAGATTGCTCTGAACCAATAAGCAATAAGTTGTGAATAAGGAAAAAAATTTTCAAAAAAAATTTATCAAAACATCTAAACATTTGTAGTTTATTAAAATCAAAATAAAAAATTTAATATTTTGAGATTTTTTCTAAAAGAATTTTTTGAAGTATTTTATATATTTTGACCAATATTTCATAATTTTTCACTTGACCTGTTATTTTTATTATTCATTGCAAGGCAGCCAAACTATTTCACCACTAAAAATCTATCATAATTTTAAAATATTTTTATTTTCAACCTCATAAAAATTATGCCCAAAAATAGAATTTTGATCCTTGGATAGATTAGAATAATAAGACAAAAAAAAACCCAGAGTTAGTCTTCATATATGTATTTTTCTCTGACTGTAGATACTAATTCTATTAATATGACTTTTTAATTCTTAAAATTTAAATTTTATCTTAAAGTTATTTAATAGAAACAATCATTCAAATTGGCTACAACTACCACCCACCCTTATAACCACACACGGCTACAAACACGCAACGCAAACACACGTGCATTAATTGGGCCTACTTACCGCCTTTGTTATTTATTGACTAGATTTTTTTTTTTTACATATTAGTGAGAGCGTAAAATGAGAAGGCCTACTATACTGGTGTCATGGTGGTCAAATTTTATTTGAATTTTCTATCTTGCGATGACATTGAGATCAAATATTCAGTTTCAACCAATGTTATCAGAATCGGACTGGTCATCGAACCGGCAAGGGGACCGGGTCAATGGTTCACTGGTTCAACCGATCAGACTGGTCATATAATAAAAAAATAAAAAATATATATAATAATTATAAAACTTAATAATTTAGCTAAAAAATATAAAATATGTATAAAATATATATAATTTGCCATAAAATTAATGAAATTAAGTAACAAAGTGGGGGTTATTGTATTTTAAAACAAAGTAAAGAGGTTCAAGTAAATTATAAAGAAAAAGAAAGGGTGTCATTTATAATTTATCCAAAAATAAGGTTAAAAAAATCAGCTATTTACTGATTTAGGGCAAAAAAATTTATTTATGTAATTTAATTTTTAAATAGGCATTAAACCGTCCGATTTTTATAAAACCGGCAGTTCACGGTTTTTGTTAAAAATCGGCCGATTTTCCAGTTTTTAGTCGATTCGCATCCTTAAGCGGTTCAACTAAGGAACCGGACTGGTTCATGGTTGAACCGGTTCGACCGACCAGTCCGGTCCGGTTCTAATAACATTGGTCTCAACTAATACACACAATCGCTCGCACAGACACAAAATTAACAAAGAATGAGCAAACACACAACTCACAACAGACACATATGAATTACAAGTCAAATGATCAAACTTTTTACTTCTCATCAAGTCTAAATGAAACCTGGTTATGTGTCTACTTACAAAACGTGTCCAAACTCTCTTGGTTGCATTGTAAACCCTAGCATGCCTATAAACAAAATACAAATTGATGGTCACAAGCCCAACTGCTTAGGCAATGCAAAACAACAATCAAATTTGCTCACAAAGCTCCCCACATTCTGCTGATTATGATTGAGTCCCCTTGCCACTCCCACAATATGCTGATTATGGCAAGGGACAATTGCAACTGTTGACTGACCCAGCCAGTAACTACCCACAACTACTGTGCATACTATGTGCACATGCCAACAATCTCCCTCATGCTTGCACATGCCAACAACTGCACAAAATTGTCCTACATGCAATGCACATGTCAACAATCGTCTAGAACCACCATTATCTGCATTGTACATGCCTCAACTGCTCGGAACCTTCTCCCATTTTGTGTACCTGTCTTCCTTGCAAGCCCACAACACCTGATTAGACTTGCATTCATGCCAAGCCATGCCCAGCTTATTGTTTGGTCTTTCAAGCTAGCCTTGCTCCCACAATTCAAGCCCACCAGCTAGCCTTGCTTGCATGCTTGCTTGTGCCCAATGTGTCCATACATGAGCTGTCTTCCTTAGCCATACATGGGGCTTCAATCAACCCACCAGTTGTGCCTAACTTGCCCATGCATGAGCAGCCTTCTTCAGCCATGCATGGGGCTTCAATCAACCCACCGGTTGTGCCCAACATGCCTATGCATGAGCTGTCTTCCTTAGCTATGCATGGGACTTTAATCAACCCACTGGTCATACCCAACGTGTCCATGCATACGCTGTTTTCTTCAGCCATGCATGGGGTTTCCACCAACGACGGGTTCCATTGATCATTGGCCCTGCATCTAGGGTTTTGGACTTTGGAATGCCTTGCATTCACTCATGGCAAGCATTTGTTAGGGTCGTGTCTTACTTTGGTGTACCAAGGCTTAGGGACATAGGGGTCCCTAGGAAAGTTGGTCTGACACCCTCTTCATGGATTACCTTTTTATAATAGCGTTAGTGAGCAAAAATCTATTGATGGCAATGGACGTACTTTGAGCCAAGGAGTCATAATGACTTGAGCCTGGGGCATTGTAGTTGCATGCCACTTGAGCCTTTGTTAGACCATTTTGTAACCCAACAAAACACAAGTCCAAGTCTTTTAGGAAGCCAACTTTGCACTAAGAGTTTGTTTCATCAAGCAAAACTTAATTTGGCTAAGACATGAGTGCCTTTAGGCGAGGCAGCCCCATGCTAATGCCGAGCCTAAAAGCTAAGGGGGTAACAAACCACCCTCAACGGAAGAGCTCAACGTCCTCATCGAGAGATTGTCCTGATTCTCCTTGATTTCATCAAGATCAACAATATTCTTCCTTCGACGAGCAACCTTGGCCAAGCTGTCTTTTGTCTCGTCAAACAACCCTTACTTGGAACTAGTAACACTGTATGCAGCATGACATCTATCTCTAGTCCTTTGTTTCACTACTCCTTTATAAGCGACTGTTGTTGTCGCACGACCAATGCCTGATAAAGGACATGGGCTGAAAGCTTTGCACCATGCTCCAGCTCGTTTTGTGATTAACTCCACATCTGAACATAAGGATCTTAGGGAGTTTTGGAGGCATAATCTCAACACATTCTTCCAAAACTTCTGCCACCAAACCGGGCATTTCAACCTTCTCATTAGGCCTATTCCCCACCAAGGCCACGAGATATGTCATCTCCCCTTCCCACAACTCAAAATTCACTTGCATAGCGGACAACATCTCCAATTTTTGTGTGTCATCTCTTTTGTTTTGGTCTGCCACCTCTGTAAGCACAAAACATGTTGCTCCCTCATTTGAGATCAGCATCCCATTTAAATGTGGCATCAGTACCACATTGGCCTTTACAAAGAGCTCGTTCTCCAGGATGACATCAAAGTTGTCAAAGGGAATAGCCGTCATGCTCACCCGACCTTCATATAAACCTACTTTCAGGCATGTCTCTGCGTTGCCACGCACTGAAATTGCTCCCGAATTAATAGCCTTGAGCTTGCTAGAGTTCTTTGCCAACTGTAGACCAAACGTTCCCACTTCCCCCTACGCAATGAAGTTATGGGTGGCATCTATGTTCACCATAACAATAACTTCTTTTTTGTTCACCCAGCCTTGCACAAACATAAGTTCTTGGCAGGGTTGCTGAACCTTTCCCATAGAGATTGCGTTTAGCAACTGTAGAGGATTAACCCAAGTGGGGTATGCATCGCCATTGTTATCTCCACTTTCAAAAACAAAGGTAGTTAACTTCTCCCGCTTGGGGTAGTCTCTGGTAAGATGAGGGCTGCTGCAAATAAAGCAATTAGAATTGAAGCTTTTCTTCTTCTCGTTGTTGTCTAACTTTTTAGAGTTACCTCTGTTCATCTTTTTCTTCCAATTTGCCTCATCTACGTCTTTGGAAGTGTCATTCTGGTCTTTTATGCCACCACCTTCCATCTTTTTCTTTTCGAAAAGGCCTTGATTGTTGTCCATTTTGAAATCAACTAGGCAGTGATGATAGTGTGCAAATCGCGTACCCCCTTGTCTACGCAACTTAGCCT